TATATATATATATATATATATATATATATATATATATATATATATATATATATATATATATATATATATATATATATATATATATATATATATATATATATATATATAATGTATATATATATATATATATATATGTATGTATGTATATATATATGTATATTCTAGCTCAGTATGAAAGTAGCTCGAACTACACGCCTGGTGTACAGGGTGCGCATATACAAAGGCTGCTGCAACCCGATGATCCTTATTTCAACTCATCAACGAAGCTCATGCTCGATCCCATCAAGTCTAGATGTCAGTAGAAGTGCGTCACTGAATCAGTGACGCCACATGCCGCGGAAAACAGCCGTTGTACACCTTGCGTCCATCATGAGTATGGGACTCGAAGCGCGCACTGTGGTTCACATCTCTACTTTTATCAGACCGGAAACACATGGACGTTGGCACTGCGTGTGGGCGGAACTCCGCCGCATCCAGGCTGCTATAGCAACGCTTGTGTACATCTTCGTCGCGCAGGCGTTGAATTGTATCCAACTGCTCCTGTGACAATCCGCTTTTAGAATCGCCGTCGAGTTTTGACTGTTCCACGATACTCAGTACATCCTCGGACTTAGGATGCGGCACTGATAGATTTTCGAACAAATCGGTGATGGGTGCGCAGGAGTATCGCCAGAACCACGGAGAATGCACCTCCGATGCCATCAGCACCACAACCGAACTTGTCTGCGATTTATTAATCATAGTTTGATAGCGTACTTTCATCGCACGAACAGACTCGTAACCATTGAATTCGATCATACCTTGTGCTATACGAAAGATCCAGACTTTACCCGTCCATGCATTGAGTTTGGGATCGTCAAGCCAAGTCTCATCTAGCACATCGTCAGCCGGACCACTCACACGGAGAAGCGTGCGACGCCTTAGCACGGCCTCACACTGCACTGAGCCGGGACACACGAAGTCTGCAACCCGTCGACTTTCATGTGCACTATCGTGTGACTTTCGTGTGTGCTGGTCTGCCGTACTCTGATTTTCGTGTGAGTACGGCGCAATACTAGTACCACCCCAATTCTGGAGCTTACGGAGTCGACTGCGTAGTCCACCTATGTACGGTGAGATACCAGGCATCGTTTGAATACCACGGGCTGTCGTATGGCTGCGTGCCGGTAGTATTTCAACGTTCTCTACTAACATATCATCTATTATCTCACTGGAGAGGCGTGACACGTACGACCCCTCGTGCGTACCACTGGTAGACCAGGACTTCTCGGCTGCGATGGACAATGGCACACCCCTGTCATACTCGTAGGCCTTTACACGCAACAAGGCGGTTACAACTGATGCGCCCCATCTGTCTACTAGCTCTATCGTATGGCGGAAGAATTTATACTCTGAGTTGAGAGGAGAATGGTAGGCGAGGTCGTCGATGGCCACGTAGACACGCATGTACGTGACACTCTTAATCTGTGCAGCCATGATCTCCACCACAAACACGCCCAAGTCCTCATTGTTGAGCATCCAGTCTGATAATTCACGCTGAACGGTCTTGTAGTCGTACAAGCACAGATCAGGGAGAAGATCAGTGTCAAACTGTCAAACGTCGCCATAGTGAACAGCTGTCAACTTCGAGAGCCGTCAGGTGTTTTCTAAAGTCAATTAAGACTATTTTTTTATGTATGAAGAAATAAATACCTCACACTCACAGGAGTCACAGCCGAGGGCCCGAGGCCCGAGGAGAAGTGACAAAAAAACAATTCAAAGTCTGTCTCAATTTGACTCAAACCTCTTGTCAAAATTGAAAATCCAAAGATTATATATATTTCAAAAAATAAAAAATAACGGGAGTTTTTTTTTAAATTCAAAAACAAAATAGCCTTCTGTCTGCTTCTGATATCAGACCGATCACTGCGATCAGAGGCTTCAGCCTTCAGAAGCTCAGAGTATTTTTTGTTACAAAAATAAATACATATTTGTTAGAAAAATATTTTGCTTTGTTTTCTTGTTGGCTTTGTTTCTCTTAGAAAAACACATATCTTTTGAAAAATACAGAAATCTTGAAACCACCATTTTTTTTAAATAAATAAATATAGAGCCACCTAGATGGTTTTTTTGGGGGGTTTTTGGTTGTTTTTTTGTTTCAAATGTAAATATTTTTTTATTTAGCCTTCTTCTAAATTGAAACATTTTTTCAAAAACAACCCAAAATTTGTTTCCTTTTTTTTAACCCCCCCCCCCCCCCTCCCCTCCTCTAATATATATATAAAAAGTTAAAAAAAATATATAAATACAGGGTTTTAGGGTTGACAGTCCTTCGTAAATACACCATAGCTTTCTAAAATTCAACAGGCAATGCACACACGAATATAAATCTCAATAATAAATACAAGGAACTAAATAGAGTAGGCTACTTGTTCGATATGAAACTGCTTCAAACTAGTTACTAATAGAAGGCTGTGTGTTCAATATAAAGCTGCTTGTTTTGTTCTGAGGACAGAAAGCACACGTAGTCATCCAGTGCTACAGCTATACTCGTGCACAGATACCATTACAGCTATCATTGCACGGAAGCATCAACGATTGTATTAGTGCGACAGATACGATGAATGGTTTACCGCCTCCCACTATAGACGAATGAAATCAATCGCTTGCTACGTGACAAAGTAGAAGGTAGTACCACCTCGGTGAGAGTGCACAGAATTATAAAGCACACAGTCACTGCGACTCGGCCGATTGTCGCAAAAGCACAGCACGTACGGAGATTGCAAGGCAAGCCCTGCATTCAAGTTCAGAGGCACTCACGATCCAGACGCACATACATGCAATTATACCAGCTACACACAGGGTCTAGTTCAGTAGGCAAGAAAGCCGTACCTCCCAAAGTTATTAGTCAAAGTACCAATTTGATTGAGTGTATCGGATCTGTACTGAATTTTGTAGCTCATCTCGCAACCATACGATGCGTTTTAACGCCGTAACTGTTGCACTGCTGTGCGTTGCGATCATCACGTTCTGTTCCGTCGCATTCGTAAACAGTGTGGTGACGGTTCCCTACATGGACGAGGTGTGTCTTTTAATTTCGGCTGATCAGGTTTCGGTAGCACTTAGAAGTGTATATAGTTGGCAATTGAGGGTTGAGGCGGGATCTGTTTTTACTTGCACATTTATCTGTATTAAGCCAGGAACGACTTCGTGTTTTTGTTTTTAATAATATATATATATATATATATATATGTATATATATATATATATATATATGTGTGTGTGTGTGTGTGTGTGTGTGTGTGTGTGTGTGTGTGTGTGTGTTGTTTGTTATGTTTTTTNTTTGT